GAAGGTGTTAGCACCCTTTTCATCCGTAGTTATCTACGGTCTCTTAATTGCTTGATCACTTTAAAATGCTTTGTATTTGTGTAAGTTTGAAAGTATTTTGAAAACGCCTAAGTTTGGAAAACTTTGAAATGATTATCGTATCGTTGAGAATGTATACAAAGTGTTGGTTTTGAAAATATTGGTTGAAAAGAAGTGTTTGGAAAGATGTTTGAAAATGCCAGTGTGAGACAATTTTGCAATGATTCTCGTATCGTTGAGAATGTATACAAAACATTTGTTTTGAAAAGTGTTTTAAAAGTGTGAGGTGTACACAATTTTGTTTATGAGCAAGCAATTACGAGAAATCTACCTACTCAGAAAGTCTTTGTTCTTTTCCTCCTCCTTTACATATTGCTTGTCTACTATTAGTGGGTAGAGAGTCATATCATTGGATGCGAGGGACGGGCGTGAAACATCGTACAGTCATAGAAGACAACTTGTAAGATGTTTTAGAAATTTTTTGTAAGGGACTAAGATCGTTTACCAAAGGCAACATTGAAGGGTCATCGAGGGACTACGATCTTTTAATCGAGGGTCTTTGCTAATATATACCACGTTCGAAGGACATGACTGTTTTTTATCTGAGGCAACAAGTGTGGTTATCCTAGAGGTGCGTGTGTTTAAAGTGTATTTGATTTCATGTATTTATCTTGTATTAGGGTTTCCTAGGTTTTAAATATTTTCGTACACACCCTAATTACTAATAATAATAAGGAAATCGATAAATTGCGGAGTTTAAATATCATAAGCTATTACAACACTTTGGGAACGGGGGGACAAATTTACAAATAGGGATGACAAGTAAAATAAATCCTAATTAGTATTACAAAGCTTTGACAGTTACATAAATGATAGTGCGAACTAATAAAGTGCGTAATAAAATATAAGAGAAAATAAGTTATTTTTATTGTGAGTTTTTTATAGGAGAGGTTTTAATTAACCTAATTAAACTAATTAATTTACAAGGGAAGTTAATTAATTATTTGACAAAAAAAACCTAAAGTCTAATTAATCTAAAAAAAGGAGATTAATAAGTTAAGAAAATATTTCTAGTGTTTTATTTATAAAAATAAATAAAATAAAGACAAAATAAAATTAGAAAGTTTTTAGTCTAATTATTTAAGAAAATGTATTTTTGGATTTTAATTAAATAAAAATAAAATAAATAAAAAAGTATAAAAAAATATATATAAAAGAAATAAAAAGTTGGGCTTGATGCTTAAAAGTAAATAAAGGGAGGTATGAAGAAGTATTTTGGTTTAGGCCCAAAACAGTTTTTTTATTGAATCAGAAGAAAAAAAAGAGGAAATGGGCTTGATGCTGTGAGTAATTTAGTAGGAGGTGGAAAGAAAAGAGACCAGGGCCCAAGGCCAGGAAGGCCCAAATGCGCTAGAAAACAAAAAAAGAAAACAAAAAAATGTGAAAAATGTGAGGCTGGGGCTTAAACCCAGGTCACAAGGGTGAAAGACGCGCGCTTTAACCACTGGGGTGGTGATACATCCGTTAGTTTATGCAACAACTATTAAATTTATTATAAAACCCTTTCTGAATGAACATCTTCTTCTTCCTCGCGCCAGCCACCTTTGATGCATTTTTGAATTTTCAAACTTGCTCATTTCTCAACCATTTCAGAAAGTGTAAACATCAAACTTGTTAGAAATTTCATCACGATTTCAACCATATAAATAACTTAAGCTAACACTCAAAGATGAACACAAATTTCAGTTGGTACCAAATTCTTCCCTAATTTTTCTGTAATTTCAGCTTCAAAATTCGCATCACTCAGGCAATATAAATGAAAACTAAAGGCATGGTTAGCTTCAGGGAAATAATGTCTACATTTTTCTTTACAAAATAACTATTAATGATGCTTGTATGAGGAGTTCAAAGTTGAGGTAACTTACCTCAAAATTGGAAATCGTGTATGGAGTTTGAGGACTTCTGGAGGTGTGGTGATGATTTGAATAGCTTCACTGGACTCCTAGGAAGCTAATGCAATGCTTACTTTGGATTGAGAGTGGCTGAATCTTCCTGTAGAAGTCAATGTATATAACTATGTTTTTGGAAATGGAGGATGGTGATGGAGGTGTTACAATTGTGAAACAGGGACGGGGATGAGTTATATTTGATGTAAGGAAGCTTTGATAATGATTTAGAGAGAAAACGCACAAGTGAATTATGAGATTGGAGTTTTTGGACAGAAATGAAAAACAACGGAGGGTTTGATGAAATTATGAGTTTGAGGGAGTTTGAGGGCTTTTGAATTCGTGTTTGGCTTGCAAAATAGTGCTTCTATTTATAGGCAAGAGGTTTGGAAACTTGAAGGGATCAGAAACAAAAGATCACATGTTATGATATTGAAACTTGATTTTGAAGCAAGCTTGACAAACATGGTTTCAATGCATAGTACAAGGGCTTGTATGGTGGCTAGAGGCTTTAAACATGTTTCTTTTGAGCATAC